ATTTAAATGCATTTTATACTATTTGCATATTTTATACTCACATCGGTTTGTTGTGCAATGGTTGTAGAAAAATCTTTCTATACACCATTTTATTTATTTTCACCAGTATTTTACTGTGTAGTAGAATAAAAAATGAATATAAGCTTAAATTAAAAATGTAAAAATTGCTTATCTGTTATTCAAATGTCATTAGCTTGAAAAAGTAAGATAATTGTGGTTACTGTTGTCTCTTATTTATTTTTATTATAAATAATGTCTTCATTTTTGAGTCACTTCAATAGACATGAAGCTTAAAAAAAAAAAAGAAAACATATGGGGACTGGAGGTGTGGTGTAGCAGGTAAAGTTGCTGTCTGCAGTGCCAGCTTTCCAAATGGGCACCAGTTCAAGTCCCGGCTGCTCCACTTCCAATCCAGCTCTCTGCTATGGCCTGGGAAAGCAGTGGAAGGTGGCCCAAGTCCGTGGGCCCCTGCACCTGCGTCCAGATCAGCTCAGTTCCGGCCATTATGGCCAATGAGAGGAAGACCTCTCTCTCTCTCTCTCTCTGCCTCTCCTTCTCTCTCTGTGTAACTCTTTCAAATAAATAAATAAATATTTTTTTAAATACTTATTTATTTGAAAGTCAGTGTTACACAGAGAGAGGAGAGGCCGGGGGGGGGGGGGGGGTGTCTTCAATCCACTGGTTCACTCCCCAGATGGCCGCAATGGCTGTGCTGGAGCTGTGCTAATCCGAAGCCAGGAGCTTCTTCTGTGTCTCCCACGTGGGTGCAGGGCCCAAGGACTTGGGCCATCTTCTACTGCTTTCCCAGGCCATAGCAGAGAACAGGATTGGAAGTGGAGCAGCCGGGACTAGAACTGGTGCCCACATGGGACGTCGGCACTTCAGGCCAGGGTATTAACCCGCTGCGCCACAGCGCCGGCCCCAATAAATAAATCTTTAAAAAAAAGGTCATTTATATTTATTTATATATTATATATGAAAGTTACTTTGCTGATCTCTTTGAGAAATAGATGAGTATCTTATAAAAGTGTGTTCTTAACTCCAGTGCAACATTTTTTGCATAAATACCTCACCGGGCAGCTTTCTAAGCATTTTCCTGAGTCCCCCAAGGCACCTTTGTGGGATGTGCTTGGAAGAAGTGTTGGGGAAACTTTAGTGAGGGTATTTTTTCTATTTTTCTCGTGTTTTTGGAGGAATACACATTATGCATAACCAAAACAATGGCTTAATTGTACTGAACTTTGTGTTTTGATTGTTGAGAAGAAACAAGCAGTATCAATGGGTAAAAAAAATTGCTATTTTTAAAAAACCTAACAAATGGCATAAAAGTGTTCTCAAACATTTTGCAATACTATGGAGTTGGGGGTGCTGAGGGTAAACAGATAAATGTGTATAGTTTAGCCTAACAATTCCCAAATTCTCCCAAATCACTTTATTTAAGCTTGGTTACATTTAAGAATACCTCAATATCTTCAGGAGATCAAATTTAAGCATTAACTATTTCAGAAAATTTTGCATGATCATATCACCCTGGATATCAGAACAAATTTTGGATTAAGTTATTAAATAACTAAAATTATACTCTTAGGACATCTGCTGACAAGGGAGGTTTCTTCAACACCAGTGACAGAGCATTATTATATGGATCCATTACAACAAGTCTAGACAAATTAAATTTTTTAGCTATTTTTTTTTTTAAGATTTATTTATTTGAAAGAGAGAGGCAGAGCCAGAGAGAGAGGTCCTCCATCCACTGGTTCACTTCCCAAATGACCACAAAAGTCAGAGCTGTGCCAATCCAAAGCCAGGAGCTTCTTAGGTTTCCCACACAGGTGCAGGGACCCGAAGACTTGAGCCATCCTCCACTGCTTTTCCAGGCCACAGCAGAGAGCTAGATCAGGAGTGGAGCAGCCGGGCTCAAACCAGTGCCCATAAGGGATGCTGGCGCCGCAGGCTGGGGCTTTCACCGACTGTACCACAGTGCCAGCCTTAAATTTTTTAGCTTTATAACAAGATATAATATATATCTCAGAGAATACAACATTGAGAGCAAATGTTTAGATGGGTTCTCTTACAAACAGGGGAAACCTAATTTGCCCCTCTGCCAAAGAAATTTTTAAATAAGCCAACTTAACATTATGAGTATCTCAAGTAAAACAATTACTTTTCTACATGAGAAGTGTCAGCCCAGTCATGAGTACTCCCTTTTTCTGTAGCCAATGAATATTTTAACATAACTCTAATGGTCTTCAGCTTTAAATTGATACACTCTTACATTAATTTTTCATAGAGATGTCTACTTCACAGGCTGTTCTTGCCTTTCTGAGAGCATATGGATGTTCATAAGCATTTTTTAGATATTAAACAATTTTAAGGTTTCTGCTTCAAAATCAAAATTTTCTTTAAAAGATAAAACCATTATTACATTCTTGGCAAAACTTTATACTAGGACTTTAAAATGTACACAAGATAATTGCAGTAATACCTGCAGGTAGATATGAAGAATAAGGGAAAAGGCATTCTTGGGGAAACTCTATGTCCTTTCTGGAGTATCTCTTAAGCTCCCTCTGCTGGCTGCCATATGTATTAATAATTTATTTATTAAATATTATTTATATATTTTTTAAAAATTATTTTATTTATTTGAAAGGCAGAGTTACAGAGAGGCAGAGTCAGAGAGGCCTTCCAACCAATGGTTCACTCCCCAAATGGCCACAATGGCCACAGCTGAGCCAATCTGAAGCCAAGAGCCTGGAGCTTCTTCCGGGTCTTCCATGCAAGTGCAGGGGCCCAAGCACTTGTGCCATCATCTACTACTTTCCCATGATAGCAGAGAGCTGGATCAGAAGAGGAGCAGCCAGGACTCCAAGTGGTGCCCATATGGGATGCTGGCACTGCAGGAGGTGGCTTTTACCTGCTACACCACAGCACTGGCTCTGTTGCCATATTTAAATAAAAGAAAAAATGCAGACCTTTTTTCTTCGGGGAAGTGATAGGCAATGTAGGATGAAACTGACAATGTTAAAGTTGAGAACAATACGTTGAGTATCTCAAAATTAGTAGATGAGGCTGGCGCTGCGGCTCACTAGGCTAATCCTCCGCTGCTTGGAGTCCGGCACCCCGGGTTCTAATCCCGGTCAGGTCACCGGATTCTGTCCCGGTTTCCCCTTTTCCAGACCAACTCTCTGCTGTGGCCAGGGAGTGCAGTGGAGGATGGCCCAAGTGCTTGGGCCCTGCACCCCATGGGAGACCAGGAGAAGTACTTGGCTCCTGCCATCGGATCAGCGCGGTGCGCCGGCCGCAGCACGCCAGCCGTGGCGGCCATTAGAGGGTGAACCAACGGCAAAAAGGAAGACCTTTCTCTCTGTCTCTCTCTCTCACTGTCCACTCTGCCTGTCAAAAAAAAAAAAAATTAGTAGATGAGTTTTCAAATGTTTCCAACACAAACAAATGATGATTAGGGTGGTGGATATGTTGATTACCCTGACTGGATCATTACACATTACATATATGTACTGAACTATTACACTGGGGCCAGCACTGTGGTACAGTGGGTTAAAGCCCCAGCCTGCAGCTCCAGAATCCCAAATGGGCACCAGTTTAAGTCCTGGCTGCTCCACTTCTGATTCAGCTCTCTGCTAAGGCCTGGGAAAGCAGCAGAAGATGGCCCAAATCCTTGGGCCTCTGCACCCATGTGGGAGACGCCGAAAAATCTCCTGGCTTTGGATCAGCTCACCTCTGGCCATTGTGGTCATCTGGGGAGTGAACCAGTGAATGGAAGACCTCTTTCTCTCTCTCTTTGGCTCTACCTCTCTCTGTAATTCTTTCAAATAGATAAAATAAATCTTATAAAAAGACTGCCTTTAAAAATTAGATGATTTGGCCAGCGCCGCGGCTCAATAGGCTAATCTTCCACCTAGCGGCGCCGGCACACCAGGTTCTAGTCCCAGTCGGGGCGCCGGATTCTTTCCCGGTTGCCCCTCTTCCAGGCCAGCTCTCTGCTGTGGCCCAGGAAGGCAGTGGAGGATGGCCCAAGTGCTTGGGCCCTGCACCCCATGAGAGACCAGGAGAAGCACCTGGCTCCTGCCTTCAGATCAGCGCAGTGCGCCGGCCGCAGCGCGCCAGCCTTGGCGGCCATTGGAGGGTGAACCAATGGCAAAAGGAAGACCTTTCTCTCTGTCTCTCTCTCACTATACACTCTGCCTGTCAAAAAAAAAAATTAAGTGATTTACAACTTCATAAAAAAATATTACACTGTGTCCCACAAATGTGATGGTCTTCAAAAAAGTTTATAAGAAATGCATATAAAACATTACACGAGTTTCAAAAGTTTTTGTACCAAAGTAAACTTACCTTTTAACTCCACTTTTCCACAAGTTTTTAAAATGTCCTCATATTACAATTATATATCAATTATTTATAAAAGGAGGTTCTCATATATAGGAGATAAGCCTATTTGATGACTATCTTCCTTAATTTAAGGTTTTAGGACTACTAAACAGATTGGGGGTGGGGAGGAGGCATCGTGTACCACTTGGGATTCCCTCATCCCATACAAGAGTGCCAGTTCAAGTCACAGCCATTTCTTATCTAGGTCCCTGTTACTGCACAGGGAAAGCAGCAGATGATGGCTCAAGTACTTGAGTCCCTGCCACCCATGCAGGAAACGTAGGTGGAATTCCTGGCTCCTGGGGGGAGTGAAACAACAAATGGAAGACCTCTCTCCCTCTGCCTTTCAAATAAATAAACCTTTTGTTTTTTTAAGAAAAGAAAAAAGAAAAAGAAAGTAAAGTAAAATAAAGTAAAAGAGAAAGATTGGGGGAACTGAGATTGAAGATAAAGGAAGTGATTGCCAAATTTGAATGTTAATCATTAAACTGGTATGCCAAAGTGCATAAGCATTAGTATAAATCAACTATAAACAGTTATGATTTAACACAAAAAATTAAATATATTTCACAAACTTCATTAGAACAAAAAGGTTACACCATACTACTTAATCTACTTAGTTTCAATATTAAGGTTTATTTTTTTCTTTCAGAGTGAGGTTAAGTAACAATTTAAATAATTATCAGGATGTATAAATGAACATCCATTCAGATAAAACATTACTGCTTAAAAGTGGCTATCTAAGAAATATTTCACATGTAATAAATATATTTTATGTTTAGGTTAACAGGCACCATCTTGAGAGCAGAAAAGTTGTTTTTTTAACCAATAAATAAATTACATTCAAGAAAACAGGTGTTTATATCTGAAGTATGATATATTCCTAAATGTTTTTCTTCATATAGCACCCAAACTTCCAAACTGTCCAGAAAGTACATCCTAAAATATAACTCATACCATAAGTCATAAAAATAAAGGCCAAGAAAAAATCAATTTAAGACAAAATTTACAGTTTATATTCTTAATTTCCCATTCAATAAAATATCAGTTGCCAATGTAGTAAATGAACTGTATATATGGCATCTGTTAGTGCTGAAAATCTGAAATATATATTCTTAAAGTCACTCTTTCTGACAGTATTTAAAATATTGCATCTCTGGTGGCAAACCTGAAAACAAACATTTTCTTCCCTAGTTCTCATACTTGTATACCCACCCCACCCTTCTTTATCCAGCTTTTTTTTAATATATATATAACTACACGTACTCATATTCCAAACACGAAACACTGACAATACTCCTTGGTAAACAAGGAAATCCCAGAACAGTCCAAGCCTACACTTTGTTCCCAAAGTGTGGCACAGGCTAAATGATGGGGGAAAAAAAACAATCAATGGCCCTTATAGATGCAGTCAGAATGCTCCTGAGGGTCCTTAACTGTTTGAGAATTTGCTGATGTAATCCTGAAGAAAATGTCAACAGATTTTGCAGACAAGTATCAGAGAATAAGTCTTTGATTGATAATTTTTCTATTTATTTCTGCCAAGGCGACTGAAAACACGAAAGCCTTCTCATCAGAGAGGTTAGCATAGATGTCAATTTCTTTTTCCTGTTTCTCTGTTAAAAGAAAAAGGGAAAGTTTAACACAAAGGCACTAGATGCAATCATTTTTTAAAAATTGAGCTGTCAAGTATTTCTTTAAATGACAATAAATATACATAAAATGTACATTTATTATACAGTACTATACTATTAAACTTAAAATATTTTAAAAATTATATAAATGAAGTATTGAAATGAAAATTAAGTAGAGATTATATACGTTCTTACAAATACAGTCTAATAGCTACATCATTTCTGAAAGAATCTCAAGTATTTCTCCTCACTAGTATCAGGCTCCCAGGTCTCAAATAAAATGAATTTTCTCACCCTAGAACATGGTCCCTTCAGTGGTGTCTTTAACAGCCTTACCTGAACTTTGCTACAGGAAACAAATAAAACCAACATTTATTTCTATTTTTTCCCCTCCTTATTACAAATACAACCCAAATTCAGGGTAAAAAATTTGAAAAATAAGGAAAAAAAATATACCTCTTGAGCCAACTAAAATCACAATTAACACTGTAGTATGTATTCTTCCAAATTCTTTTTTCAAGCTCATTATGATTCTATTTTTATTTATTTTGTTTTGACATTTTAATCAAGGCTATACATGTATGTAATTTACAGTCAAATTATTTTTACTAGGTTACAAAAAACAGAAGTTCTCCCTCTACTTTCCACTCTCCAAATACAACCACTTTTTTTTAGTTTTCCTTTTTGCTTTTTACAAGAACAAATCTATCTCTAAGTAACATTTTTATAAAATGCCACTGCTTAATCTTAGGCATGACTCACTCACTTCCCATTATGGAAAATTAGGATTTTATTGTTTAGCATCTCTTGCTCCCAAAACACTCTGCTCATTCTCTCATCTTGTCATTACAAATTACAATTTCAGTAACATCAATTTTCAGTGTTTACATTATGATGACTATGTAAGTGACCTCATTTTTCCTGCACACAGTTTTTTCCTGGAAGTGATTTTCTTTTCCATTTGCTTGGTTTTCATTTCTAGTTCAAACTCTGTCCCCACTGTATAAGTCTTCTTTCAGGCTGTTTACACATATTAGGTATTCTATAAATTTCATCTTGTTGAAGAAATTCCTCTAAGCCTTCTGACCTGCTCCAATCTGTAATGGTTGTTTGCTAGGCTTACTGCACAATTATCTTGCATGCCTTCTTCAATATCACTGGAAATCCTCATCTCTCTCTCTCAAGTTGGATCCTCTTTGTACTGGAGCCCAGGATCACTTCTTCATTTTGGTAGCATGTAACTTGCAATAGCTTCCTGAGAAAGGGAGTGTGAGTAGCAAATTTTCCAAGACCCTGAATATCACAAAATATGTTTATTCTATCACTCATTCATAGTTTGTCTAAGCAAAGACATGTAGGTTTCCTCTTAGAATTATGAAGGCATTAAACTGCCTTCTGACTACTGGTGCAATGTTGAGAAAAACTAATACCTTTTTAATAGTTATTTTCAAAATTATTGCTAAACTTAGATACAGTGAAATACATAGGTCCTTGAAGCAAACAACTGGATGAGTTTTGACTAATATATATAGCCATGTAATCCACACAACCAAGATAATTTTCTTCACTCCAGAAAGTTCCTCATTCTTTTCCTGTTAATCCCTCCCTACCCTCACCAGCAACTAACTGTTCTGATCTCTATTACCACAGCTTCATTTTCTCTGCTATTAAACTTCATCTAAATGATATAATATATACTATTCTGTGTCTAGCTTGTTCCTTCTGATGTTTTTGAAATTCACTGATGCTGTTTCTCAGTATTCTGTTCCTTGCTAGGTAGCATTCCAGTTAGTTTCAGTATCCGTTTGATTCATTTCTCTGCTTTTTCTGAAAATCTAATGACTTTCTCCTTAACCAAAGAGATATAAAATATGATGATATGCTTTGATATAATTTTTATTTTTAATCATGCATAGGGCTAGGAATTTTGTGGGGACTTTTACTATGGAAACTATGTTCTTCAGGTTTGGGAAACTTTATTAGATTATTCCATTGATGACTTCTTTCTCCTTCTATGTTCTTTTCCTGACACTTCAAATATTTACAGATGTTAGACCTCAGACTGGTCCTCTAAATTTCTGATCTTTTCATCTCTTTACCTTCCTTCAATTTTACCTTTAATCTTTCCATTAAAGTTCTTCATTTATGTGAATCATATTTTGGGACTTTTTAATATTTTGAAGTTCATCTTTTCCTTTGAGAGGAAGAGAGACAGAGACAGACAGGCAGAGCTCCCATCTGCTGATTCACTCCCCAGATATCTACAACGGCCAGGGCTGAAGCCAGGAGCAGGTAACACAATCTGGGTTTACCACATGAGTGGCAAGAACCCAACTACTTCAGCCATCACTGTTGCCTCTCAGAGTCTGCATTAGCAGGAAGCTGGAGTCAGGGGACAGAGCCCAGAATCGAACCCAGGTACTCAGATATGGGACACAGGCATCTCAACCACTAGGCTAACTGCCTGCTCACATTAAAGTTCATTTTCCAGGTGTGTTTCTGACTTCTGCAAATTCCTTTTAAATATAATTTTGTTTCTGTTTCATGATTACAATGTATTTTTTTTGCTAAGGATATTGATACTTTTCATACTTTTCTCCTCCCAAACACCAGCAAAAACTTGATTTCCTAAGTTATTTTTTTCTCTCCTGTTGAGTTAGACTCAGCAGTTCACACTGTTTTCTTCCAGATATCTTGGTAATTCTTGGCAATATTCATATTTAGGAATATGTCCAAAAAAGCTGATTAGAAGCAGGTACACATATGTGGAGCTTGACCAGTCATCAGATCAGAACTACCTCACTAAGCCATTTCTCTTAAATCACTAATGAAAGTATTATTATTTTAGTGCTTTTCTCCTGGGCTCTTCAGATTACCCAGAGAAGATATGTCCAAACTCTTTTTATGTGGAAGATATAAAGTCTAACTGAAGAACTCAACATTTATCATGTTCAATTTTTACCCATCATCCTGAACCTAATAAGTTTCCCTGCCAAAGCCTGGTGTTCCTTGGATCAGAGACTTTTTCTTTTTTAAAGATTTATTTGAAAGGCAGAGTTACAGGGAGGCAGAGGCAAACAGAGAGAGAGGTCTTCCAACACTGGTTCACTCCCCAGATGGTCACAATAGCTGGAGTTGCGCTGATCCAAAGCCAGGAGCCAGGAGCTTCCTTCAGGTCTCCCATGCTAGTGCAGGGGCCCAAAGACTTGGACCATCTTCAACTGCTTTCCTAGGCCACAGCAAAAAGCTGTATCAGAAGTGGAGCAGCCAGGACTCAAATTGGTACCCATATGGGATGCCAGCACTGCAGGCGGTGGCTCCACCATCTATGCCAGAGCGCCAGCCAAGGATCAGAGACTTTTTTCTCATCTTTTTCAAAAGATAAATTTGGGGGAAAGGGAGATTTCCTTTTCCATTCTTCCCAATCTTTTCCAAAATAGAAAATAATAGTCAATTATTAAGTTTTGTTTTTTACAGATATTGACAGGTTTTCCTTAATCCCTATGTTCAAATGAAGCTAAAGCTTGCTTCTGGTTTTCCAAGTGTCCTAAGAGCAGAGAATTAATAAAATTAATTAAGCGGAGCTGGCACTGTGGCGCAGTGGGTTAATGCCCTGGCCTGAAGTGCCAGCAAACCATATGGGCACCAGTTAGAGAACCAGCTGCTCCACTTCCAATCCAGATCTCTGCTATGGCCTGGGAAAGCAGTGGGAAGATGGCCCAAAGTCTTTTGGACCTTGTACCCACGTGGAAGACCCAGAAGAAGCTCCTGGCTCCTGGCTTCAGATTGGCGCAGCTCCAGCCATGTGGCCAATTGGGGAGTAAACCAGCGGATGGAAGACCTCCCCTCCCGTCTCTGCTCTCTCTGTGTAACTCTGACTTTTAAATAAATAAATGAATCTTAAAAAAATTAATTAAGCAAGTAAGCTACTTAAGACTAAGAAGTATATCAAAGAAATCTATTCTAAAAAAAGAATTTTATTTAAACATTTCAAAAGTTTATAGTTGCTATCTATATTATATTTAAAGACCAATGGCCTACATTAAGGATTAACAAATAGCAGCCCTGGTGTCACATCTGGTCCATCACCAGGTTTTTTTAATGTTTAACTAGATTACAACCATGCCCTTTTGATTACATATTGCTTATGGCTACTTTCCAGCTACCATGACAGAGCTGAGTAGTTGTGACAGAAATCTTGTGACCCACAAAGCTAAAATAGCAAATATATGGCTCTATGCAGAAAAAATTTGCTGATACCCTGGCCTATATTAAAAAATGCCTGTTAATACTACAAAATTTGCGTTAAGCAACTTCCTATCATAGCTATAAAAAGCAAATAAATCAAAAGCATATCTTTCTCGAAAAACAAACTTCTTAAAATTCTCCAATAGTAAACTAAAAACACCTGAAAAATATTTAGAGCCAAATAAATGCATCTTTTTTCAAGTTATAAAGTGAAAGTTCAAGACTACATGTAAGTCCCAGCACAACTATACAAACTTCCTTTCTCTAACTAAAAGACCGTCATTATCTGTTTTCTCATCTCTTACCACTAGAAGCATTCCTTCTCTGTTCTTTCAGTTATATTCCCTTAACTCCAACTGCAAGGAAATGTTCTGATTTCGGGGACAAGCAGTATTTCTCTTTTTCTCTCTGTCAATTTTTTTTAAATCAGTTTCCCTTCTAAAACAGTCTTTAATATTGATTTTCTGATTAATCCATTACTAAAGCAGCATATTCAGGGCCCGTGTTGTGGGACAGTGGGTTAAGGCTCTGCCTGCAGCGCCAGCCACCCACATGGGCGCCAGTTCATGTCCTGGTGGCTCCTCTTCTGATCCAGCTCATCCAGCTCTCTGCTTATGGCCTGGGATAGCAGTAGAAGCTGGCTCAAGTCCTTGGGCCCCTGCACCCACATGGGAGGCCCAGAAGAACCTCCTGGCTCCTGGCTTCAGATCAGCTCTGCTCTGGCTGTTGTGGCCAGTTAGGGAGAGAGAGAAGGATAGAAGACCTTTCTCTCTGTTTCTCTCTCTACTTCTCAAATTAAAATAAACAAATAAATAAATCAAAAATAAAGCAGCATATTCAAACTGAGCAAAGAATTCAAAATTTCTAGAAGAGGAAAAAAAAAAAGTAAAATCACCCATGGATTTAAACAGTACTTAAATACAGCCTTCATGGAAATATAGTCAAATATGATATAAGCCTTATTCCTTTACTTACAAAATATTAAGACATTTTTAAGTTTGACAAAAGCTAAGTACAGGCAAACCAATGTTATTTTACCTAATGGTTGTTAACATTATTCAATTAAAAGCACACAAATATAAAGAAAGGGCAAATAGGTAAAAATCCTCAATGTCTAAAATAGCAGAAATTTACATTTATGCAGAAAGCACTTGGGTTCCTAAAAATAAATACCTCAAAAAGCAAAGCACAACTTATAACAAAATATAAAGGAATTTCACTGAAGATAAAATAATTTTGACAGAGTTTTTTAAAGAATTATAAAGAGCAACTGTGGCCGGCGCCGCAGCTTAATAGGCTAATCCTCCACCTGTGGCGCCAGCACACTGGGTTCTAGTCCCGGTCGGGGCGCCGGATTCTGTCCCAGTTGCCCCTCTTCCAGGCCAGCTCTCTGCTGTGGCCCAGGAATGCAGTGAAGGATGGCCCAAGTGCTTGGGCCCAGCACCCACATGGGAGACCAAGAGAAGCACCTGGCTCTTGCCTTCGGATCAGTGCAGTGCGCCAGCTGCAGTGCACCGGCCATGGCAGCCATTGGAGGGTGAACCAACAGTAAAGGAAGACCTTTCTCTGTCTCTCTCTCTCACTGTCCACTCTGCCTGTCCAAAAAAAAAAAAAGGAGCATCTATTCCTCTTTTTAGTTAGTTACTGGCTTGAAAGTTAAAACATATAGAAGGCATTTAATGGGCATATAGGGATTAAGTTAAAATGTTTTTTTGTTGTTGTTGTTGTTGTTGTTTTTTTTTTTTGACAGGCAGAGTGGACAGTGAGAGAGAGAGAGAGACAGAGAGAAAGGTCTTCCTTTTTGCCGTTGGTTCACCCTCCAATGGCCGCTGCGGCCGGCGCGCTGCGGCCGGCGCACCGTGCTGATCCGATGGCAGGAGCCAGGTACCTATCCTGGTCTCCCATGGGGTGCAGGGCCCAAGCACTTGGGCCATCCTCCACTGCACTCCCGGGCCACAGCAGAGAGCTGGCCTGGAAGAGGGGCAACCGGGACAGAATCCGGCGCCCCGACCGGGACTAGAACCCGGTGTGCCGGCGCCACAAGGCGGAGGATTAGCCTAGTGAGCCACGGCGCCGGCCAAGTTAAAATGTTAAAAAGACATTCATGGGGCTGGCACTGTGGCACAGCTGGTAAAGCCGCCACCTGTAGTGCTGGCGTCCCGTATGGGCACCAGTTCAAGTCCCAGCTGCTCCACTTCTAATCCAGTTCTCTGCTATGGCCTGGGAAAGCAATAGAAGATGACCCAAGTCCTTAGGCCCCTGCACCCCTGTGGGAAACCGGAAGGAGGCTCCTGGCTCCTGGCTCCAGATTGGTGCAATTCCGACCATTGCGGCCAATTGGGGAGTGAACCAGAGGATGGAAGACCTCTCTCCCTCTCTGCCTCTCCTTCTCTCTCTCTGTGACTCTGACTTTCAAATAAATAAATAAATCTTTTTAAAAAGATGTGTAAATTGGCCAGCGCTGCGGCTCACTAGGCTAATCTTCCGCCTGCGGCGCTAGCACCCCAGGTTCTAGTCCCTGTTGGGGCGCCAGATTCTGTCCTGGTTGCTCCTCTTCTAGTCCAGCTCTCTGCTGTGGCCCAGGAAGGCAGTGGAGGATGGCCCAGGTCCTTGGGCCCTGCACCCATATGGGAGACCAGGAGGAGGCACCTGGCTCCTGGCTTCAGATCGGCGCAGTGCGCCGGCCACAGCAGCACACTGGCCGTAGTGGCTACTTTGGGGATGAACCAACAGAAAAAGGAAGACCTTTCTCTCTCTCTCTCTCACTAACTCTGCCTGTTAAAAAAAAAGAAAGAAAAAAAAAAGATGTAAATCAAAAAGAGAAGGTTAAGTTTTAGTTAATGGCTAAAAGCAAGTTATTGGTAGATACATTACCTATTAGAAGACAGGACTTTTAAGGAAAAATAGAAATGTAATTTGGATCAAGAAGAATTCATCTAACTATGCAAAATCTGTCTCAAAGTAGGGAGCATATAAATCTCCCAATGAGCAATTTAAAAATTCATACTGGGGCAAGCATTTGGCCTAGCAGCTAGGATACCACATGGAATGTGCAAATCCATTATCAGAGTGCCTGGGTTTGTGATCCCAGCTCCTCTCCCAATTTGTTTCCTGCTAATGTGCACCTTGGAACAATGGTGGTGATAGCTCAAGTACTTGGGTCCCTGCCACAGATGTGAAAGACCTGGACTCAGTTCCTGGCTCTCCCCTCTCCCCCATGGGCTACTGTATTCATCTGGGGAGTGAACCAGTTAATGGAAAGTCTCTTTCAGTCTGTGTCCCTCAAATTAAAAAGCAAAACAAAACAAAATTAAAATCCATAACAAAAACATTTTAATTTTTATTTTATTTTTTTTTTATTTTTATTTTTTGACAGTCACAGTGGACAGTCAGAGGGAGAGACAGAGAGAAAGGTCTTCCTTTGCCGTTGGTTCACCCTCCAATGGCCGCCGCGGCCGGCGTGCTGCAGCCGGCGCACCACGTTGATCCGATGGCAGGAGCCAGGAGCCAGGTGCTTTTCCTGGTCTCCCATGGGGTGCAGGGCCCAAGCACCTGGGCCATCCTCCACTGCACTCCCTGGCCACAGCAGAGGGCTGGCCTGGAAGAGGGGCAACCGGGACAGAATCCGGCGCCCCGACCGGGACTAGAACCCGGTGTGCCGGCGCCACTAGGCGGAGGATTAGCCTAGTGAGCCGCGGCGCCGGCCCAACAAAAACATTTTAAATAGTAAATTTCTAAAACTCATTGTATATACAGTTTAAAATAAGTCATAACAAGATTCAGACTTAATCCTTTGTAAAAAGTTCAATCATTTTAACAGGCTTCTCAATTGAGGATTTCACACACAAATTATCTCTAAACTCTACTAATGGTAGTTTATATACCAAGGTGGATTTTACCTAATTTAAGCTGTTAGTTTTTTCCAATTAGAGTTAAAGTACTGTGATTTTTTTTTTAATTAAGCATCTACCAGAGGGCATGCTTTCAAACTAAAATATGAGTTGTGTGGAGCACAATGCCTCCCTACTATCTAATTAAAATTTCAGATCAATTTAATTATCAAAAAAAAAAAAACTGCTTCGATTTAGTCATACCTCTTTCTTCCTCATGTTTTTTGGCAGATGCACTTTTTGGTCTTCCTCTTCCTCGTCTGATATGATCTGAATGGCTGTTACTTCGAGACCTCTTTCTGTTTTCTAAATCTTTATTTACTGTAGAATTTATCTTCTCTCTCCTAACTCTCTCTGTTCGCCTCCTCTTGGCCTCATGCTTGTTTTCTGTATGGATGAATAAAAGTGATATATTTTAGGGCTTAGCAAGAACTGTTTGCCCAAGTTCTCATTGTCTTCTTTTTACTCTCTAAACATCACTGTAGTTCCTGACATCGTTTACAAAACTACAACCACAACACAAATGCTTCCACACCCATATTGAAAAAAAAAAATTCAACAGAATTCATATCCACATAACAAATGAGATAAGAGGAATGTCAGACGAGAAAATAAGTTTCTTTATGTGGGAGCTTTAAATTTAGCTCCTGTAAGTTCAAACTCACAGCCTCCTTTCTGCCTTTTTCCTCCTTTCTGTTTCCAAACTAAAACTGGTGAAGAATTAGGAAACGAAAAAATATTTTATTCTTTTTTGTCTCTTATCTGTGTTACAAATTGAAATATTACAAATACATAGAAGCAAAATGAGCTTAGCTATATATATTAAGGTTACAATAATATCAAACAGCATCCACAGAAAACATTAGAGAAGTGTTTTCATTTCAGCCACAGATGAGCTAATTTCTGACGTAAGAGCATTGTGTTCTATAAATGGAATAGTAATAGGAGACCTTAACTAATACTGTGATTTAATTCATTTGTAGTCTTTGGTAAGGAATTTTGACTCAATCCTGGTCTCCCATGTGGGTGGACAGGGACTTTAGCTATCAACTGCTGCCTCCTAGGATATGATTAGCAGGAAGCTGGATTGAGTTTCTAGTTCCTGGCTTTGGCCTGGTCCAGCCCTGGCTATTAGGGAAATTTGGGAAATGAACCAGTAGACAGAAGATCGCTCTCAATCTTTCTCTGCCTTTCAAATAAATAAATATTTTAAAATACATAGTAAATTGTATAGCTTCCCTTCATAAGGACTTTCATTTGCTTTTTTCATTAGTTTTTTTTTTTTTTTTTTTTAAGATTTATTTATTTGAAATGCAGAGCTACAGAGAGGAAGAAACAGAGATCTTCCATTTGCTGGTTCACTCCCCAAATGGTCTCAATGGTCAGAGCTGAACCAGGCTGAAGACAGGAGCCAGGAATTTCTTCCAGGTTTCCCATGGGGGTGCAGGGGACCAAGCACTTGGGCCATCGTCCACTGCTTTCCCAGGCACATTAGCAGGGAGTTGGATTGGAAGTGAAGCAGCTGGACTTTGAACTAGCACCTACATGAGATACTGGTGCTCCAGGAGGTAGCCCTACCCACTGCAATTTTAAACAATTTTCTTAAGATTTGGGCAGTGATAGAGAGAAAGGGAGACAGAGATCAATCTTCCATTTGCTAATTCACTCCCCAAATAGCTGCAAACAGGCAAAGTTGAGCTAAGTCAAAGCCAAGGACTCCATCATCTCCCACATGGGTGGCAGGGGCCCAACTACCTGGGCCTTCATCTGCTACCTACTAAGCACATTAGCAAGTAACTGGATTAGAAGTGAAGCAGTCAGAGCTCAGACCAGTACTTCAATATAAGATGCTGGCATCCTAGCAGTTTAACCCACAACAACAGCCCCAGCTTTTCACTATATTTAAAGTCAAAATCCCTTACCAAAGACTACAAATCCCCAATAGGATCTGACACTTGCCTCTTACTGAAACTTTTTTTTTATAACACTCTGCATTGTTCTCTCTACCCAGACATGATGCTCTTTAGTAAAATAAGTTCCTCCCTCTGCTTGAATCTATGTATTTGCTAATCCTTCTGCCTAGAGCTCTTCTCCTAAGATTCTTCCTTTGGCAGGCTTTTTTCCCTTCAGATATTAAGTTTATAGGTCATTTCTAACTGAAATTACTTCCTATATTCTACTACAACTACAATCTGTTATTCATTTACTTATATGCTCAGTCTCCAGCATTGAATTAATTATAAACTTTTGAAAGTTAGAACTCTATCTTATTTCAGAATCTAGAACAGACTATGTATATTAAGTACAGAGCTGAATAATAAAATCAGACTAAGCACATGTATTATTTTACCATTTGCTCAAAATCCACAAATGAAAAGAAATATGGCAAAGGGGAGAAGGGAAAAACAAAAAAAACCTAGTGTTGGAACAAGGGAAAGGTACTATTAATGATCCAAAATTATTAATTTCAGCAATTGCCAAGCTAATGGTTCTGATTAAGAAATTAGAATAGAAGGAACTACGAGTAGGGTGAGCATGTGGCACAGCAGTGAAGTCCCCACTTTAGACATCCAAATTCCACATCAGAGTGCCTGGTTCAAGTCTAGGCTCTTCCACTTTCAATTCAGCTTCCTGCCAATGCACACCCTAGGAGGCAACAGGTGATGACTCAAGTACGTGGGTCCCAATCACCCGTGTGGGAGAATGAGTCCTCACCCACCTGAGTGAGTCCTGAGCTCCTGGCTGTGGCCGGCGCTTAGGGAGTGAACTAGCAATCTGGAAGAGATCTTCCACCCCACCCTTCCCTTTTCCATCTCCCTCTTTGCCTTACAAATAGAACAAAAAATAAAATGTCTTTAAAAACTATGAGCAGGCCAGTGCTGAAGCTCACTAGGCTAATCTTCTGCCTACGACCCTGGCACCCCAGGTTCTAGTTCCAGTTGGGGCACCGGATTCTGTCCCGGTTGCTCCTCTTCCAGTCCAGCTCTCTGCTGTGGCCCGGGAGTACAGTGGAGGATGGCCCAGGTCCTTGGGCCCTGCACCCGCATGGGAGACCAGGAGAAGCACCTGGCTCCCGGCTTCAGATCGGCGCAGCGCACAGGCTGCAGCAGCACACTGGCCGTAGCGGCCACCTGGGGGGTGAACCAACGGAAAAAGGAAGACCTTTCTGTCTCTCTCTCTCTCACTGTCTAACTCTGCCTATCAAAAATAAAATAAAATAAAATAAAAAACTATGAGCATATAATCCAAAATATGAGTAAGTGATGGCTCCTATTGAAAGGGAAGCTGTCCTTCCCAAAGGAGTCACAAAGATATTCCCAGTATTAGACGAAAAGCATAGTGAAGGTGCTCAACTTAACAGCTATGAGTATTGCAAAACAGCTGAGTCTGTGTAAACACAGCAACTGACAGAAGTAAAGCTCTCAGAGACAGCACCATAGCACACCAATGTTAAGTTGCTGCTTGCAATGCCGCATCCCAGGCATCCCAGACTGCTCTGCTTCTGAACCAGCTTCTTGCTAACATGTCTGGAAAGGCTGAGGAAGATGGCCCAAGTATCTGGGCCACTGCCAGCCATGTGGGATACCAGAATGGAGTTTCTGGCATCAGCAGGGTCCAGACCTGGCTGCTGTGGCCATCTGGAGAGTAAACCAGTGGATATAAACACACCTTTGCTCACTTGCTCTCTATCACTCTGCCTTTCAAATAAACAAATCTTTAAAAATAAAAACAAACAAAAAAGAATTTCTTAGGGAATACAGCAATGTACAAGGGAACTTCCAATCTCCAAAATACTGGAAAAAGCTTCTCCAAGGAGTGAAGTACTACAACAGACTATATATTCTGCCTCAGAATGAAGTCCACCTATTCCTTGAATAAGGGAATTATTCTGCCTGCTCACCTAATATAGTTTACATCTAAACACCTGCCACTAAACTCTTCCCAATTATACACTAAAGAGAACTGTTACCAAAAGAGACATTTAAAACAGCGTAGGATACTGATGCAAGTTATCTATACTAATAAACCAAGTCCTTATTTATAAATAACATAAACAGGCAATTAAGGATTAACAGCTATTTGAGGAAAACAAAAAAGCACAAAAGACAAGGACCAGGCTAAAACAAGAACAAAAGCTGTTCAGGAAACAAACAAACAAAAAAAACCTTAACACTCAAACGTACACCTTCAAAGAGATCTGAAAGACTCTATCATTAAGAAGATTCGCTGGGGTCAGCACTGTAGCACAGTGAGTTAAGCTGCCACCTGGGATAACTACATCCCATACTGAAGTACCTGTTCAAGTCCCAGTTACTCCACTTCCAATCCAGTGTGCCTTCTCTCTCTTTCAAATTAAATAAAAATGTTAAGAAACAAAGGTTAAAAAAAGGGGGGAGGAGGGTTAAAGGCTTAACTAAACATGACAGCTAAAATTATAAAGACTCTTAAAAAGGAACAAAGGAGAGTTCATGACATTGGATTCTGGCAATAATTTCTTGGGTAGAACACCAAAAATCAAGCAACAAAACTAAAAAAAAAAAAAAAAAAACTGAACTTGATCAAAATTAAAAGCTTCTGTGCATCAGGGTACACCACAAATAGAGTGGGAAGGCAACTCAGAGAAGAGGATAAAATACGTGCAAATTATTATCAAATAAGGGACTAATATCCAGAATATATAAAAAACTACAACTTGACAACAACAACAACAACAAAACAAGAGCAGGCATTTCGTGCAGCAGTGAAGACACTACTTGGGATGCCCACACCCCATACTGAAGTGCCTGGCATTGAGTCTCCACTCTGTTCTATATTCAAAGCCTCCTGGAAAGCAGGGGTACTTGGGTACCAGCCACCCACAGGAGAAATTCAAATTGGGTTCCTGGCTTTAGCCTGGCTGATCTTGGTAATGGGAGCTCTGTACTTATCTCTCTCCCTCTCTTCCTTTCAAAAAAAAAAAAAAAAAAAGTTTAAAAAAAGAACATACTAATAGTAAATGAATGAGAAAATATTTTTTAAAAACTAAAAAATAGGAAATATTTTAAAAAGTAAATAAGCAAAAAAATCAACCAAGAACATGATTAAAGAATAAGCAAAAGATTTGAACAGACATTTCTCTAAAGATACACAAATAGCCAACAAGCACAGGAAAAGATATTCAACATCACTAATCAACAGAAAAATACCAATCAAAAACCACAAATGCTACTTCATATTCATTTGTATACTACTTAAAAAAAAAAAACAGAAAATAACAAATGCTGATGAAGAGAAATTGGAACCTTTGTGCACTGCGGGTAGAAATGTAAAATAGTACAGCTGCTGTGGCAAATAGCATGGTGATTCCTCAAAATATTAACAGCTTTACCATATGATTCAGCAATTCC